AATATATCATCTAAAGTTGGAATTACAAAATCCTGGGAAACCGTTATCTCATTGAGTTTTCGAAAATCTAATACGAGGCGATATTTACTGTTTTGCCTAACAAATAATGCAGGAGCGTTATAATTTGAGTTTGATTTTGAAATAATCCCAGCCTTTTCTAAATCATGTATTTGTTTTCGAAATTCTTCACGCAAATGAAAAGGTATTTTGTAGGAAGGACATTTAATGGGATTGTTATGAAGTAATTGAATTTCGTGAGGATCAGTAATAGCTTCCGATAATTCTATTGTCGATCTAGCAAACGCATTTTCATGCTTTAACAAGATTTATGCAACTCTGTGTTTCATTTTGGAATCCAAATGTTTTAATTTAAAATCATGCTCGTTAATTGGTGGGGGTAATTCTCCGGATACGGGTAATTCTTCTGGCAAATCATCAAAATTATTTATTGAGCCTATAATTGTATGCTTATTTAACATAATAGCTTTATCTGTTTTATTATTTAAAACGACACGAGTTTTATTATCAATTACATTTAATAAATTATTGGTATCTTCAAAAGAAACCCCTTTTCTTTTTAATTTTTTACTTTTATCGACTGTTATTTTAGAACAATTTTCATGCAGCATTGGTACGTCGACGTAAACAACTGACGAAATTCCAGGTGGGATTAACAATTTCTGATTTAATCGTAATTTTATATGCTTACTGTTTTCATGAGTTATATTTGATACATAATTTAATGGAATTTTTTCTTCCATGATTTTAATGCTATCTTCTTTAATATTAATAGTTGCATCTCTGGCTTTTAAAAAATCTACTTCTAAAATAGCTTCATAATTTCTTGAAAAATCTTTATCCGTAACGTAAAAATTTTGTTCAACCGATGTACTTCCTATTTCTAGGATAAGTTTAAAGTGTCCTTTTATTTCTACCTGGCTACCATTTACTGCTTTTATATTTATATTGGATTTTAATTCTGAAGCTTGACCATTTTTATTTATTTTATCGAAAATTGTTGGACTCAATAGTGAAATTGTTGCTCCGCTATCTATTAAACAATTAAATTTACATTGATTTGATACTACGCTAATAACGGGCAATTTAAATTGGTCTGAATTACAAGAATTTCCGGGAGATACAGCAGACCCTGATTTTAATACCTCCCTCTGGAGTTTAAATCCCGATAATTTTGAGTATTAGCATTTCTCCTTTCTTCTGAATTGTTTGCAAAATTTCTTGTATTAGTATAATTTGGTCAAATCCAACTCTTTGTCGCGATTTTGATCTGTTTCGCCTTTGATCTCTCTCTTTTTTATAACAATTTGTTTGAATGTGCCCCTGAATCCCGCAATAATAGCACCTAACCGACGATGGGGGGGTATCTTCTCGCAGTATGATTGTTTACCTCGGCCTCATTTGTTTTCTTTTGATTTTTTAATGTGTCTACCTCGACTGATAGTTTGGAAATTTGAGCCGTCAACTCGCCTATTAATTGTTCTTGAAATCTGTTAGTGACCGTTCCCTCCCTGTTTCTCGACGAATTCTCAAAAATCTTAAAATTAGCTTCTTCTCTAATCGCACACTGTCTTCAAATGTTTGAGGGTTGTTTCTTAACACGTGTCTCTGTAGTTCTGGCTTAATACCCGCACAAAATCTTGCTAATAATATTCCATTATTTGCTTCTCCCACTGCCGGATTTGCGCCATTCGCCTGAGCGGATAGAATATTTTCGCCCAATCGACGAAGGCGATTTCCAAATACAAATATGCTTTCTGAGTCGTATTGCGTACAAGTCGCGAGTTCCTGTAAATGTGTAGTTAACGGAATTTTTTTTTTCGAAATGAGTCCTGAGTAGATGAACTAAATTATCATATTCGTTAACTGCTGAATAAGTTTCGATGAATTTCTCCGCATCATCACATAATTTAAGTTTTAATACGGTAACTTTCTCCTCGTCATTCCAATTATTTATACGTCCTACTTCATCTATTTTTTTTATAAAACTATGAATTGAATCGTCCTTTCCTTTAAATTTTGGGATTAACTCTATTAAATGCATTGAAATTCTTCGTAAACCTTGTTCCGCACCCGCGTCGTACGGCTCCGGTTGCCGTCTACCTGTTCTATTTCTATTCATAATTATTCAGAATTAAACAAATTATACGAAATAAATATTTCCCTAACGTTTACAAAATACATAAAATAAATCTACATTCTATTATAACCTGCAAGCATTTGAGACATGAAAATGAAATCGCGTACATGAGATTTTCAGCACGTGCATAATGCAACATAAGTTCTTTAACAAATTAATTCAAAAAATTCTAAACCAATTAATAAACCAAATTCTCTAAAACAATTAATAAATAAATGCATTTAAAAAACATAGCGTGAATGAAACTTAAAATTTAAGCTAGATTAATTAAGATTAGTAAAATACTGCGTTGTTCGTTAACCCGCGTGGTAAGGTGTCTCGGCACCATTGATACACCTATTGATTTCACTTTAGTATGTATCATGTTAATTTCAGTTAAAATTAGAAAACACATAGTTAAAGTTAAATTTAATTATTGAAATATTCTTGATTACAATTTGACATAACATTAAGTAATACAAAGGGGGAACGAATCTAGGATTCACTCACCAGGTGTGTCATCTCGAAAAACAGGTCACCTCAGCTATGCAAACTTTCTACTGATTCCTAAATGGTTGCAAGGGGAAACTTAGCCAAACTCACCCTTTGGCTCACTTTATCCATGTTTTTGGCGCACTTACTATTTTGGGACTCCTTGCTCTGCATCAATATAAACCATTGGTTCTCAGCGGGGGCGATACCGCCCCCTTGGGGGCGGCGAGAGTATGCTGAGGGGCGGTGGACTTGTTTTGGGCGGTAGGGGGGCGTTGGGTAAGTTTTGGGCGGTAGGGGGCGATGAAAATGTTTAGTCATTCAAATTTAATTTTAAAACTCCCAAATAAAAATATTAAATTAAGATTTATTTAATAAATAAAATTAATCCAAAAGTATTATTAAAGAAAAGAAGATTAATATAATAAATTAAGATTATCTGATACACCATTTGTGCCAGCAATAAAATGAATTTATGCGACACCTATTCTCTGATTCGAACCAGCACAGCGGGCGCATGAGTCAACAGTTTTTGCCTCTGATTCATTCAAGCCATTTGGTGGAAATTGAAGTGCATGCGCTACTATTATGAATATTCGACCCGTGTTTCGGATTATAGTTCTTTTCCCCAGTTTCGATAAGATTTAATTATTTATTTGGCCAGGTACGTGGGCGAGTTAGTTCTTTATAGTAAATCATTTATTAATTTGAAGAAATAATTGATTTTCCTTCATCGTTTGTATATTGCTGCCACCAACAATGTTGGTTAACATAAAGAAGTGTTGTTAATACTGTGCCATGTACTTGAAGTTTGGATTTATTCGACCGCTGTCGAATTCTCAACTACCCATGTGCATTTTGTTACAAAGTTTTATCTAATGAGGGAATGGAATCTATCCGTTATCAGGAGCATTTGCAAAAAAACAATCCTATCAAACAAAATAGTAATATGTCATTTTTCACGAACATCAAAGACTAGTTTCTGAAGGCCAGGCTCGCTAGCAACCTCTTCACAAAAATGCGGCGATGGACCACCGGCAAAGAGTTGATACTGCCGGCTGTCAAGGAAGTTTTAAAAACAGTTTTGCACCATCCAGTCTCATCCAATTTAATCAAAAATATCCCATTAAGCAGCGATACAGTGCAGTGACGAATTGATGAGATGGCTGAAGACGTTGAAGCTTTCTTATGCAGACTTTTGATATCCAACGAATTTTCCCTTGAAGTTGATGAATCAACCTAGCCAAGTAATGTAGGCTTTACTGTTGTCATGCGTCCAGTTTATGAAAGAGAAAAAAATTATTGAAGAGATGCATTTTGCTTGATTGTAGATACCAAAGGTGAATCTATTATTAATACTGTCGAAGATTATTTTGAAGAGAAAAACAGTCCTCTTTCGAATATTATGTTTGTTACGACTGATAGAGCTCTTGCAATAGTGGGTCGACAGGGTGGGTTTATCGCCGTTTTGAAGAGGGAGGTACCAGATATTTTAATTGTTCATTGCGTAATTCACAGACATCATTTAGTAATAAAAAATCTCGATTACTGTTTGCATCATTCATTGCAATATGTCATATCTGCTGTTAACAAAATTCGCAGTAATGCTCTCAACGATTGCCTATTCAGACAGTTGTGTAAAAAAAAATGATGAAGAATATCGCTTGCTACTACACACCGAGATTCACTGGCTATCCAAAGACGCCTGTCTCAATAGGTTTTTGAATCTTTTCGACTCTGTGCTTGAGTTTCACGAAGACAGAGATGTAGCTATGAGACACAGATTGATAGAAGTTAAGATTGACGTTGACGGTTTTATTTGTAAAATTTAATGTCGTTAATTTACAACTTCAAGCTCAATTTGAGCCTTTCTAAAAAAATTCATGAAAACAGAATTTTGGTAGGAATAAGTTCAGCCAATTTCCAATCTTATCGTATCTTAAAAAGAATGTCGAAATTCTCTCTGGTGATATACAAGAATATTGTCAACACTTTGACTCTTTTTACATGAACATTTCGGACCGTTTTAAAGATGTTTTGTCCCTGAAAGTCCCTCAATTGGTTATGAACCCTTTTGTGAATATTGAAACAGCAGCGGTTCACATTCAGGAGTAATTGGTCGAACATTCAACTAATGACGCTTTGAAATGGTGCTCGTCTCACAGAATTTTAGCTTCAATGTAACGTCAGTCACCTATACCCTGGACTGTGGACGACTAACACCAAAAATTTTTTAACTGCCTTCCCTTTCTCCTACCTTGTTGAACATGGATTCAGTACTGTTACGGATCTAGTCACAAAAAGAGAAATCGATTCGAAATCGTGAAACGAAGAGATCACCTCACTAAAAATATTGAACCGAACGTTAAGAAACTGGCTCTGAACCATTAAGTACAATCATCCCATTGACATAGTTACTTAATTGTTTCGTTGATACTACTTTTAAGTGTAAAGAAGTTATTTTTGGCTGTTTTTTTTAATTATGTCATTAAGAACAAATGACTCTTTTTAAGCATAGTTTTCTTTGCTGCATTTTTTTTCATTATCGTATTTATTTTGATTATGACATTTAGACTGCAATTTCCTGCCAGGAGAAAAGTATCAAATTAACTTACACATTATTTAAAAAAAATTAACGCATAAAAAAATTGCTTCAAAATGGTGCCTTTTATAATTCAGCACCCCCCCCCCGTCCCCATCTCTAAATAACTGGATTTTAAACAAAGGGGGGCGTTGAGATGTTTTTGGCTCCTTAAGGGGGCGGCAACGTTAAAAAGGTTGAGAATCTATGATATAAACCATTTCGTAAACTTGCTTGCCTCTTGACTCTTCAAGTTTTCACTAACTTTGTGCCCAGGAACTTCACACCTTAACGTTCATATTTCAAAACAAGTCTTCATGTTTCAACTTTAAATAACATTTAAAATTTCGTAATTTTCTCCATTTTTCGCAAAGTAAAGCAAAACAGAAAAGTAAAAAGTGTGGGGAGAGTAGCTATCCACCATGTCAACCGTCATCTGTGAAAAGGCACCCCATCCATAGAATAGAGTTAACATGTCTTATATACTAGTGAATTGGAATGATATTTGTGTAGTGATAGATACACTACTCCCCCACCAGAATTATATCTGTGATAGAATTTGATGATCGGATACCACTAGTTGATTCATTGCTGGTTTGTAAGAAGCCGGGAGGGCTGTGTTAAGATCACCGTACTTTTTGAGTGCTGATCTGAGAGCTGTATTAAGTTCACAGTCGCGGTTGCTCCTGTGTTGCCATTAGCAGTCGAGTGACTACGTTGTACGCTATGTGTTATCGAAACTGAGTAGCAGCAGTACGTGGAGATGGATAATGTCGCAGTCACACGTAGCAAGTCAACTGTTCGATGTGGACCATCCATCGAAGTAGGCGTTTCTGCCAAGGTTGGTATGTTCACATCATGTCCGAGTCACTAATGCGGGGACAGTGGTTATCGACCATGTCAACCTTCATCTATGAAAGGGTACCCCACCATAGAATTGAGTTAACATGTCTTATATTCTGGTGAATTGGAATAGTATTTTTGTAGTGGTACACTACAAAAGTAACCTTGGTTACATATTTCTGATAATACAAAGTACTTTCTCTAACTTTTTCAGCTCAATTGAGAGAGATAAAGAAAATAACTCTAGGAAAGCTAATCTGTCAAAATTCTAATATTGATCGAATACAAGCCAGGGTGATGCTTTATAACAGCAATAGGTGAGTGATTTATGCTATCTTATTATGAATTCCTTCCTTCAATTGCTTATTTTATTCACTAGTTATATAATGGTAAAGAATCATTTTTTAATACTTTTTATAAAAAGATTTAAAGTGAGTAGCGGAAATCCCGGATTTTAAAAAAGCTATAAATAGTAAACATTTATAAATGTTTTTGATTTAAATTCATTAGCAAATAACTTTATATTTAAAAAAAATATTGAAACAGTTAATTCAGAAATTTAATGGGATACTTAAAATAATCCTTACTCTTTAAGATACTGAATTAGTTTTAAGATAGTTTTGAACTCGTGGACAAGTTTTGAGAAATACATAACTCTAAATTGATTAAGAATAAAAAGTTAATAAACCAAACATTTAAAGGGAGAAACAACCCTAAAATTTACAAAAAAAATCTATTTTTTACATGACAACAGGCAAAACTAGTTAGTTAATCAGCTGTATAATATAGTCAGTTTATCAACATTGTCTATCATCGAATAATAAATAACAGGTGCCTGTCTTCCTCTAATATATTTTTACATTGTGTATTTTTTACTTTAATATTTATCTTCCTTTTATAGAAATCCTGTAGTAAACTGTAATGATTTACCAGAAATGGATTTAAGAGCCTGGAGTCGATAAAGGTTAAAGTAGTAAGTGTCATTTCTAACAAATTACTAAATTGTTTTTAATTTCCTTGTATTTATCTGAAATAAATATGTGAGAAAAAAATATAATAAATTTCGATGGAAAAAATTAATTCTCAGAGAATAAAAAGTGCTTAAAATGCATTGTTAATAATTTTATAAGGAATTCACACTCACAACAAAAGTAAAACGCTTTTTTTTCACTTAATACCTAAAAAAATTCTTATTTCAATCATCTTAAAATAATTTTAATAAAACTTAGCATTCAAAATCTATTTCTCGCGTTGCCATTATTATTACAAGAATGATATTTAAACTCTAAAAACTTACTTTCTGAGATTATTAATATGTAATCTCAAATTTTTCTAAATAAATGAAAACTGTTATTCAGTTGTATAATCAAACTATAGAAATTTTTCGAGATCTACAAATATTTAAGCAAATCTAAAAACATTTAACATAAAATGCATTATAAAAAGAAAGCTATATGAGAAATGTTGTTACCTGAGAAATATATAGAATAATTATTGGAAGAAGAGCTAGAAGAATGAAAATTGCAATCACAGATTTCCATCATATACTGCAGACTTTCAGCATTTTACATAACCAAACAAAAATTTATTTCAACTTCAAAATATATATGTATTCAGCTGCCAAGTTGCAAAAATCTATTCACCCATTAGCTTAAAACATTCTTTAAAATTTGTAAAAACAATTAAAGGTTTTGAATTAGATAATCGTTTGCATTTTCTTTAAATTAAAAAAGCTATTATAGCAAACGATAAAATAAGATTGGTTGGTATTGATTGAAATATTCATATTCCTAATTCATAAATATTCATATTCCTATAATAAAATTTTTTTTTTTATCATTGTAACCTGTTTTGCTGCACTTGTCTTAACTGCTTCAATAATGTTAAATATCTCAATAATGTTAAATAATTTCTGTTTTAATGATTGAATTTTTAACTACTAAAAATAAATCTTAATGGTTTAATGATTTGACCTCATTCATCAGTGTAATCATATCAGTGCAATCATCATCAGTGTAGTTCATCATATAAAATAAGACACAAAAGCATACTTTCTCAGAATAAACATACCATCATAATTCAAAATGTGGGGATGGGAGTCTCTGATGGAACCCTTAAGGTTAATTTTTTTAATCTCAACACAACTCAGAAAGTTTTTCAGCGAATCAAAAAACAATTGCACACATATATAAAATTCTTTCATACAAAGATAATTCCATGCAATTTTTTTTTATAATTTTGAATAATTCTTTAATAATAAAGTATAAAATTTTTTACTTCATTTCAAACAGTGTAGTTTGCAATGAAAAAATGCAAAATTTAGATAAAATTGGGGAATAATTGTTGAAAAATTTGGTTTTAAAAGTACAGATTTCTTAAAATTTCATAAGTTTAGAACTAACTTATTGCCTGATCCCGTTCAAAGTTTGTATTTCGTCATTTTAAATTACATGTTTAAAATAATGTGAAAATTTTAAGATTCAAATTTTTTTAAACCGTAATACAACATTATTAAAAAATATTTAAACTACTAAAAATGATTTTTTATATGGACTTATTTTTCGATAAACGAATTTTATAACTGTATGTAAAAATAAATTTATGATTCGTTAGAAAGTTCAGAAGATATGTTGAAATATGAAGAAGAAAAAAAAGAGTAATTAATATCAAGAGACCTTCTCTCCTGACTCAACGATTCAGAACCTATTTGCGGGTACCCCCATATTGTGCTGATGGAAAATCCATCAGAAAAAAAGTCAGAATAAGTAAGTTTCTGTGTCTAATCATACGAAGTAATTTGTGTATTTGACCTCTTTTGAGCTATGGCTTTTTAAATTCGCGATAAACAGGATGATATTTTTGTTTGCTGCAGTGTCCTCCTTAAAAGTTTGAGTGAGTGTGTGCTTTTTGACATAATCTTTTCACTTCAAACTCATCCAGAAAAAAGAAGTCTGATGACATTGTCGGTCAAGCGACACGAAAAAAATGTCAAAAAAAGGGGTCATTATTGCATATCATTATATTTCAATGTTTAAATAGAAATGCAATGGTGTTTTTTTCCCTCTGTTTAAATAGTTGTTTTACATGGAATAAAACGTCTTTTCTTTTGAAAAAAAAAACGAATATCTTTTATAAAATCAATATTTTTATCGAGCAACTTAAATATTTTTTTTTAAAATTTTTAATGATTCGTCGTTAAATTTTTTTATTCTGAACACTGCTCAAAATGCGTAGTTAAGAAAATGACCATAATTTTTTTTTGGAAAAAAAAAGGATGAAGGAATGGATTTAAATAAATCCTTATTGCGATGTCGACAATTTGCCTAAATCACATTTTTTATAAATATATTTTTTTTGAAAGATATTATACGTCAGCTTTTTTCTTACAAACTTGTAACGAGTTCTATATATTTATAATTTATAACATTAATATTCAATTGACACTTTTAATTTAGTAATTAGATAAATACTATTAAGAACTGCTTGAAAAGTTACACCTCTAATATACCCAACCCCGAAATTCGGAACTAGACCCCGTAATGATTATGGTTAGTGTTGAGAAAAGTAAAGAATAGTAAGTACGAAATTCCTCTTTTAATTGTTAAATCTGGGTTGAATTTTTAAAAAGGATAATTTTTGTCAATTTTCTTAAGTCGCATTTCGAGCTGTATCCAGAATGAAAACCTTGGCTATTCATTTCTTTTATAGTTATATTTTTCTTTTTCGAGTTATAGCATATTGGAAAAAGAGATTGGAAACATTTGCTGAACCAACTGAAGTCGATTGAAAGAAAGAGAATATCGCACTCGCATCATTTTCACTTTACCCCCTAACATTGTAAAATAAAGATTTAAGTTTATGTAAAATTTATATATAGTGTTCAGCAAGTTCCATTTGTCTTACATATTCAAAAAGTTTTTAAACTTAAAGAAGTATTGTATATCGAAAAAAAAATGTCTTTAAAAATATATCATTCCAATAAAGAAAGTACCAATAAAGCATTATTTTTTTATGACTCAGTTTATGTTTATGAAATCATGTGTTATTTCATTCAACAATAAAATTTTAAAAACTGAAAATTAAAAAATTATTTTCGCAATTCTTAAAACTGGAACTGTTCGTTCCTCACCCCCTTAAATTTGAATCGCAATTTTGAATAAAATAAACGCATTTAAACATTTTTTAGGTTTTTAAAATTATTCAATTAAATATCTACAACAAAATATAAACAATAATTCAAACTTATCTCACATAGAAAAATATAATTTTAAAGTTTTTTTTTTATGCTTTAACATTTGAAGACAACATAGGTCTGAAAAACAAAGAGAAACACGATTCTATATAATTGCGGGGTCCCATTGTGGACTGATCGTTAAGACACGGTTCCCAGCAGATCCCCGAAGTCAAGCATCACTGGCTGCGGTCAGTGTGCGGGTGGGTGACCACTTGGATCAGCCTGCGTAGGGACCGAGGGTGTGCGGTATTGGTCCACATTAAACTGTTCTACCGTAAAGTGCTCGACTTCGCGAGCAGGTCGTCGGGCTACCGAAGCGGGGGCGCCATCCCTTCCGCAGAGGATCAAAATTGTGATGGCATGTCTTCGGATCATCCTCCGGGATGTTTCCCAGACCGTCGCCAATAGCCCATTGTGCAGCTCTAGTGCGACGTAAAT